AAGAACATGACATACTGGAGGCCACAGTTTGGCCCCATTTGGCTCCTGTGGCTGAGTGACCCCAGACTGTCCCTGACCCTCAAGTGTTTCTCCCACTTGATGGGACAAGGACAAAGGCTCTGGGATCAGGCCAGCCTAGGTGCGAATCCACGCTTTTTCACTTTCTGGATGATTTTGGGCCAGTGAGGCCATACTGAAATTGGTCTCAGTTTACCAAAGAATAAACTGAGACTTATAGAGGGATGCCACACATCTTAGAGTGCAGAGGGAAGTGTTGACAGCTGGGGCCTGTGGTCAGGACTTGGGGCAGGGTAGGAGGCAGCTGACAAGTGGGAGGGGGTGGCGACTCTCCCAAAGCTATTATTCTGAGGCCTCAGAGATGGAGAGTAGGGGAGGGAAGAGCAGCCTGACCAGGGGGCATAACAGGTGCAAAGGCACTGAGGCAGGAATCTATTTGGCAGCCTCGAGGGACAGCAAGGGAGCAGGTGGGGTGGAGGCTAATGAGCAACAGGAAGATGAAAAGAAAGGAGGAAGGGGGGTCACAGGGGCCATGAAGGGCCTAGGGATCAAGAGGAGCCACGGTGTGCTTGGAGCAAGGAAGAGATTAAATCTAGAGTAACCATTGGCAGCTGAATCAGGGAAGACCTAGGGGTTCAGAAGCCTAGGGACGGCCCAGCAGCACACACCAGCCCATGTTAGCAAGGGCCTGCAAGAGCCAGCACAAGTCACTACCCACCTCCAGCAGACACTCATGCCAACACAAAACCCAGACTTGCCGCCAATGCACTGACAAGTGCGTGTCTGCTTCCCGCATTGATTGAGATATGTAAACCCACAGGTGAGTACATATAACACGCATGCACACACCTCTGGGCAGCTCCACTGACAGGGCTGACACGCAAACACACATGCACACTCTGGCGGCCCCACCTCTTTCCAGGCCGCCTGCAAACACACTCCTACCAGCACGCGTCACATCACAAGGCTCAGGAAGCGCTGCTGGGGGCTCCCTCGAGAGCTGGCTTCCTGTTTTCAAAGAGGCTGGGAAGTGCTGACAGAATGTTCTGGACAGTCCTGCCCCTCCCTGCCACTGTCTCAGCACCCCCCATCCAGCCTCATAGACTCTGCACCCTAGTACTGATCCTATCCTACAGTGAGGTCAGGTTCCAGATGAGGAAACCGAGGCTCAGAGAGGTGCTGCCACTAGCCCAGGGTCACAAAGGAAGGAAGAGGTGGTGCCCGGAGTCCAGACCCCAAGCTCTAACCTGCCCTCCTCTGGAGCACCATGTCTGTTGTCGGGGGTTCACAAATGGAGAATCGCCCCTCCTGCCTAGACCGTGGCTCCCAGGCTCCAGAGGCCACCCCCACACAGCCCTAAGCTCTCCTGCCTCATGATTGTAACCTCCCCTTATTCACCATCGTGCCCAAAAGAAGGGCCACCAATGTCACCAACATTAATCACAAACATTAATGGAACGTCCTCTGCCAACAAGACAGACCTGGTCCCACCCTGAGGGGGCTGTGGTGGGGGGAGCACCCAGCCTAGGAGCAAATAAACAAACAAGGCTGCAGCTGCCTTCCCTGTGCTCCAGCCCTAAAGAGCCACTGGGAAGGCTGAGAGCATGTCTGGCTTTCTCTTGCCTGCTATGGTTACACGCTAATTCCTCTGCCTGGAATGTCTTTCCCAAACTCCTTGGTGAACTCCTCTTCATCCATCAAAGCCTCAATTCCAATGTCCTCTCCTCCTGGAAGTTGTCCTAGGACCCTCCATTTCCCATCCTTCCCTCTGGCTCCACCCTGACTCCACAGGCTGGGGATGTCTGTGGACTCCACTGCAATGTCTTTGGGACTCTGTTCTGCTGTTCTTGTCATGGTGGCAAGATGGCCCCTATCATCATCTCCAGGGAGCCCCCAAACTCCCAGGATGATTGGCCTAGCCAGAGTCACATGTCTATCCCTGAACCAATTCCTGTGTCTGTGGTGACAAAAGGCTCTAATTTGCCAAATTTGGTCACATGTCCATATCTGGAGCCTGGAAGTGGACCTGACTCTTTATATCCACCCAAAGCAGCCAGGGAGAGCAGGTGTCCCAAGACCCTTTTACCGAGGACTTGGGGGGCCCTGCCTATCTGACTTGGGGGGCCTTGGGCAAGTCACCTGTTCTCTGTGCCTCATTTTTTCCACCTGTGAATAGGGCTCAGCAGGGCTGAGGTGTTGGAGCACAAAGGTGCCCTACCCCGTCCCGGCCTGCTGAGGCTGGGAGGGGCGTGGAAGGGAGGCCTGTTCATGCCACAGCTCCCGTCCTTCATTGTCCTTCTCTGTGAATCCCCTAGACAGCCGCCCAGCCCCAGCGTGGCAGGCGCTGATGGCAGCCTGCTGAGTCATCACTTCCTCCTGGGCCCCTTGCCCAGCCTGATGCTTTCAGGGGACTTTCCTGGCCTTCCCTGAACATCAAAAACAAGGTGAGGGACAACTCTCTAACAGGGGTAGTGAGGGCAGAGGTGTATTTGAACAAGTCTGTGCACAACCTGCTGTGAGTTCAATCCCATGTCCTGCTCCCATCTGGAACGTGGCGACCATAACTGCTTCCCACTCTGCACATGAACACCCAGCAAGCCCTCAACCAGGGCTGTGGGTGCCTGGTGATGGGGTGAGTGTGGTCATTACTGGAATACCTATTCAGACAGTTGTTGGCATGCTGGATCCTCATGTGGCTGAGTTCACTGGCCCATTTCTGTTTCTCTGCACGTATGTGTGCATGCGTGTGTTTCTGCATGTGTGTGTGTATGCATCAGGGCATCCTTGCGTGTGGAGCCCTGTTGGCCCAAGATTCACAGAGACCCAGCCTCTTGCTGGAAAAGGTGCATCTGGTAGAGGGAACTCCCTGGGCAAAGGCAGGAGGACTGGGAGATCGTCCTTGCACGGAACAACAGGGGGTGGCACAGGTTCAGGCGGACTGAGGGGATGGGAAGCTCCGTGAGTGAGCGAGCCTGGGCAACTCCTGCAGAGCTGAACTTCGGGAGGAAATGATGTCAATTCTGAACTATTTACCGAGCACCTACTGTGTGTGCCCAGAGTTGGGGACACAGTGGGGCTTTAGGGTAACAGATATTACATTAACAAACAAGTAAATATATAATTCTAGGGTGGAGAAAAGGTCAGGAAGCAAAATGCATCAGGCAAGGGCACAGACTGAGGGGGTGCTCTAGTCTGGAAACTGGGAGGGCATCCTGAGGAAGTAATGTGTGATCCGAGGCCTACAGGGAACATCCAGAGCAGATCTGGGGAGAGGGAGCACCAGGTGAAAGGTACAGCAGGTGCAAAGGCCCTGAGGTAGGGATGAACTGACAGAGGGGCCACATTCAGGAAGATCTAAGCCCAGAGCAGGTAGGGGAGGCATCAGGGGGCGGCACTAGTGGGGAGCAGGGCCATCAGGACGAGCTGTACTGTAACTGGAGCCCAGAAGGAATGCATCCTCCCTCCCCCACCCCCAGATCAGGACGAGCTGTCCTGTAACTGGAGCCCAGCAGGACTGCATCCTCCCTCCCATCCACCCCCAGCACACCCTGCTCAGGACAGAATGTGCCGGGAAGAGAGGCTGGTGGCAGCTTGTGCCTGGTGGCTGGAGCAGGGCGGCCAGCCGGAGGATTCCTGAACAGCAGCCCAGCTGGGCCCCCTGCCAGTGAGAGCGGAAAACAAGCGCAGGCGCCCTGCCTGCCTTTCACCCATTGCCCTGAGCCTGGCCCGGCCAGAGTAAGAAGCAGAGACAGTGAAAGGATCAGAGACAGAGAGACAGTGACCGAGAGAGATGGTGTGCAAGAGACAAGAGACAGAGAAATCAAGAGTGGGAGAAACTGAGACAGCAGTGAGAGACAGAGACAGACCTGGCATTTAACTCTGAACTGGTGCCAGGTCCACAGAGTAGGGAAGGAGTCCCCTCCAGTCAATCAATCAGTCAGCAACCCCGCTTCACGCCTGCTATGTGCTGGGGCCAGGGACGCAACCCTAACCCAGCCCCATCCTCAAAGGCTCAGACTAACAAGTGAATACCTAAATAGGAATTTCAGAGAGTAATGAGGGCTACGAACCCTGGGTGAGTTACCTCACTCTGTTGAACTCATTTTCCCCACCTGCAACTCCAGGAGAATGGCAACCTTCTGCCACTCAGGCTGTCTTAATGCCCAGTGTGTGTTCAAACAAATCCTGTACATGCAGGTCCACAGTAGCCCTTGTCACAATTGCCAAAACGTGGAAAGGACTCAAATGTCCATCAGCTGATGACTGGATAAACAAAATGCAGTCTATTCACACAGTGGAATATTATACAGCCATAAAAATGAGTGGAGCAGTGACGCATGCCATAACATAGATGAACCATGGAGACATGATGAGTGAAAGAAGCCCGACCACAGTGTGTGATTCGATTTATATAAAATGTCCAGAACAGGCAAATCCATAGAGACGAAAAGCAGATTAGTGGTCACCAGGGGCTGGGGAATGGGGAGTGACTGCTAATGGGGATGGGGTCATGGAAATGTTCCGAAACTAGACAGAGGAGATGGTTGCACAATATTGTGAATGTGCTAAACATTATGGAATTGTCTACTTTAAAATGATAAATGTTATGGTATATGAATTGTACTTCAATAAAAACAAAAAAGCCTAGACTCAGGCAGTACCCTTATGTACCCCAAACACCCTGCACGGCCCAGCCAACCTCTTCTCCATCTGCTGAGGACAGAGGAAACCTCTCTCTATCCTCCATCATTCACACTGCCAGCCATGTAACTGCACCAGGGGAGAGGTGTGGGACATGGGGTTTGGCTCCAGCCCGAGCTCAGCTTTCTTTTTTGTCTCCAAGCTTGTTTCTCCTCCTGTACAATGGGCCCTTTACCCCTCGTCAGCCTGGAATTCAATCCAAGATCCTGACCTAGGATGGCAGTCAAGGCCACCCCAGCTTCCTCAGCAGCTGGAAGAAGATAAACCAATTAAGCCTAGGCTCTTTCTCCATATTTTTATTTTTAAAAAAATAATTATACAAAAGAGAACAATTTAAGGCTTATTAGAAATGCTGAGTCCCAGGCTGGGACTCTGCAACTGGGGGCTTGTCCAGTTGCCCTTTCCCACTTTGTCTCTCCAGGACATAGGGGTCTCCAGAAACACACTGGCCCTGCTGTGTCACCCCAGGATGACCTCTGTCCCCAACGCCTGGTTGAATGCTCTGCTGTCACTATCTTAAAATTCTTAATAATCCTTGAACAAGGATTTCATTTGCAAGTTACATAACTGGCTTTGTCCGTTCCCCTCTGAACCTAGGCCATATAGCACCCAGGCAGCTCTGTGTCTGGAGTACCTGGAGGAGCCCCTAGGAACTTCCAGCCTGGGGCAGGAATCTCTGGCTTTCAGAGGCTTCAAAGACTAGAGCCACTGCACCTGCAGCCCACAGGCCCCACATGGCTCCCATGACCTTCTTCCCCAAATGCCCCATTCCTGGGCCCTCTCGCCTTGCCCTCTGAGCCCCATTTCTAAGATGAACGGGGCAGTCTCCAACCATCACTCAGCTCCGACATTCTCCGACTTCTCCTCCCTCTTGCTTGCCTGCCTGCTGAGCTCCTATTCATACACCAAAGCCTCAGCTAAAATGCCCCTTCCTCTAGAAAGTCTTCTCTGTGTCCTCTCTGGATTCTCTCAGCCCTGAGACCCTTCCTCTGGTCCCATAAGACTGGAAGTATTTATGTCTGGCTTTGTCTCTTCAGACTGAAAGCCCCTGGGGCACCCAACCCCGCCCACAGGCCAGCACAGACAGCTTGAACGGTCTCTCAGATCCTGCATCTGATGCCTTACGAGGCCCAGTCCAGATAAGTCAGATCCCAGACTGGTTCTCCTTCTGTCCTGTGTGATATCAGAACAGCCCTGCCCTGTTCCAAGACTTGGTTTCCCCAACTTCAGTGCAGTCGGGCTGGTCTGCTCTTGATCCAGCCACTCCCCATGTCCACAGTGGCTGGAAGTATATGGGCAATCTCGTTCCTCAAGGTATCCACTTCCACTCAGCAGGTCATGCAGCGTGGCCTCATGGCCTCCGAGGGGGGGTTTGGATCCTCCTGAGGGAAAAGAACCCATCAAGCCTCAGGGGGCACCAGAGGCTCCGCAAGTTTCCCCCTTGCTAGTCTCCAGTGCAGTCAGCCAAGGGGAACCCCTAGAGCAGACTTGGAATCAAGGCTGGTTCGGGCCCTGAACATATGCATGGAAGTTTCATCATTTAAAATTCCTGTGTCTTCCACCCTTATTTTGGTTCCCAGGGCCTAGAGAGGCATGGGGGCTTCTTGGACCTCCGAACTCACCTCAGAGTACAAGGGCGGTGGGCGGTAGCGGAACTCCTGGATATAGGCAAAGAAGGGGCCTTCGAGGCTCATGTCGAAATCCTGAGGTGGTAGGAAGGGGCTCTGCCCCACTGCTGCCACATCATCTACTACCTCTGAGTACTCAGGAGGGGCTGGAAGTGAGAGGGGGTAAGGCTGGTGAGGAGGGAGCCCCAGAACTGGGAACAATGGCCAGGAGCCTGTTTGTGCCAGTTCTGGGCTGCCAGGCTATGTGCTCTCAGCCTGGGATTCTGGGGAACCTGTGGTCACCAACATGATTATTGTAGATGGGAGTGTTGAGGCTGAGGAGGTGGAGTCAGCCTGGCACCGCTTCTGCCCAGCACCCCTGCCCGCCCCGGGATAGCAGGACAGGGTGCTCACCCTCTGGCCGCTCTGGCAGGGCCCCTAGCCCCCAGTCCAGCAGAAAGCTGGCATGGCTGCCCACACTGGACGAGCGGCTGCCGAAAGGGTGCAGGGGAACAGTGCCGATGACCAGCGGCAGCTCCAGGAGCAGCTTGGATGTGCCCGGGATGTCCACGAAGACCTTGAGGAAGAAGCCACAATGGAGGATGCCCAGGCGGCCTCACCATACCTGCCTTCTAAAGAAGGAGGCCCTTCCTGTGCTGGGAGGCCCCAGCTCCAGCCTAGGGAGGACTCTGTCTGGGGACAGAGCAGATGCAGCCCCCCCACAATCTCCTATAATACTCCACCTTGAGGGCATAGTCCACATGCAGCACACGACAGTGCAAGATGGAAGGGCCCACGGGGGGGATCCGAAGTGCCCGGCCCTGCCACAGTGCGTGCCGCCCGGGGCCTACAAGCTCCCCGGAGAGACTGGCCACCACTGCTCGTTTCTGCTTGCGGGCGCCTCGTGCCATGAAGGTCTGCGTCTGGACTACGGCCGCCCGTGGCAGTACCGGGCGCGTGGATCCGTTGTCGATCTCAGCGAAGACAGGGATTACCTCACCTGTGACAGGAAGTGGCAGGGCCTCAATTTCCCCACCTGCGTTCCTGTCACTGGCCCTCTTCCCGATCAGGCCACTCTCGTCTGCTACCTGGTGTGTACCCCTTGCGGTCGATCTTGGCCGAGAGGGAGACGAGGCCATGGTTATTGTACCAGGATCGGGCGACTTTCTCCCGAGCTCCTGCTTGAGGGGCCTGACAGGAAAGGGACATAAACGGGTCACTCTGTGCAAACCACAGACCTGTGGGGCTTGAGCTTCCAAACCACCCCAAGCTGAGGGAGGACTTGGGGAAGGGCTTAGTTTCCTGGTTTCTTTTTAACAATCTCAGAATTATCAGTAAAATGGATCCAGGAATTATGATCCATTTCACAAAGCTAAAAATGAAATGAACAAGCCAAGTGCTTAATATGTAATCAGTGATCAATAAGCCATTATTGCAAACCCTGGTTCTACTCTGTTACAGACAAGCCATCTGAGGCTCAGAGAGAATGAGACTCTTGCCCCAAGCCACAGAGCAAATTGGCACAGCTAGGATTTGCACTGTCTCCACTGAACTTTACAGACATTCCCATGCCTCTCCCTGCCAGGACCCAGCAGTAACCCCTACTTTGTGAAGGGATTGAGGGGCCAGTCGGGGTCACCCAGCAGCCAGCCAGGCCCCATCGCACCTCCCGGGGCAGCCAGCCACTCACCAGCAGAGCAGGTGTGTTGATATCCACAGGCTCAATAACAGTAAACACCTTTTTTGCCCGGCGGGCAGGGACCCAGGGCCGGTGCAGGGTGGCCTTGATGCAGTATCGGACACTGCCGTGTTTACCTTCAAATGAGGTCACCAGGGTTCTGGGGATGGAAGGAAGGGGCTTCAGGGACCAAAATACAGAGACTCGCAGGTTGGTGATTCCCAAAGACTTAGAGAGTTTGAGAGACACAGGGACACTCCTGAGGGCTTCCCAGGGGACAGTCTTGGGGATCAGAGGTTCCCAGATATCAAGCAGTGAAGCCTCAAACCTGAAACGGACTCCCCCACAACCCCAGATGACTCACGGAGGTAGCTGGAAGCTGAATGGGAACTCGTGGCGCCCAGGAGGCAGCGTGGTTGTCTCTCCAGTGTCTGCAGGTAGGAGCAAAAAGGGGTGGTTCAGTGGCAGCGCGAGGTTCCCGGGGCGCGCAGCACGTGGGCTGCGCAGGGGTAACCGGCCGTACCTGGCGCGAGAAACGTGGCACTGTGGCTCAGGACCTCCACGCGCTCGCTGTAGCTCTGCGTGTACGCGGTGCTGGAGCCAGTGCTGCGCGACTCAGTCCAGTGTACGTGGGCGCGGCCCCGCGCGCGCAGCCTCAGGGCGCCTACGCGAGCCGAGCCCGCCAGCTCCAGCAGCACCCGGCCGGCCACGACCTGGCCACCACTAAACACCGGATCGGCGCCCGCGCTCGCGCCGTCCAGCTGTACCACGAACGCCTTCACTTTGTCGAACAACATCGCGCCGGGGATGCGAACACGCCACGAGCGGACCCTGGCTTCGAACTCCCGACGTAGCGGTGAGAGGTGCGGACGCAGCTGCCTCAAGACGCGAAACCACCGCGCTCGCCGGCCGTGCCGGAAACTTCGTGGTCTGCGCCGGCGCCGCCTTTATATAGCGGGGAGGGGCGGGGCAAGACTCAGACCCCGCCTCCATGAGAGAATAAACCAATGGTGTGGAGAGAGGTGTGGCTCCACCCAGGCGTGGCTCCGCCCAGATGTGGAGCACGATAACGAACTCCCAGATTCCAGGCCCCCTATCCTCCACTCTTGTGAACTCTGGAATGAAACTGAAGCACTGGGGCCCAGAGCCGGTCTCTCGCGGATCCGGGGGATAAAGAGGAGAAACTGAGGCCCGGAGGCGGGGCCTAAGCCTGAAGTCACCCATGAAAGACCATTCTATTCCTGGGTTTAATCATCAACAGGCCACCACTTGCAGACGTGACTCAGGGCATGTCCAGCCTGAGCTGGAGGGATGTGGAACCGCCTGGCTCAATCGGGTTGCTCTGAGCCTAGGTCGCCCTGGCGTCAGTTTACCCTTCTGGGAAGGGTAATGGGAGAGGGAGGAAGATATAGGTGGGGCCTCCTTCCCTTTGGGCACCTGCTGACCCCCTCCTCTCATTCGAACCCTGCTCAGCTGGGTAACCCCAGACTAGTGACAACATCTTGGAGACTGAGTTTCCACGTGCAGAGCCGGAAGAAAATCAGCACCCATCTCGGAGGGTTGTGCATGAATCACAGTGTCGCCCCTACTTGACCCCTCCTAGAGCTCGTTCTCGGATCACCAGTCCGCTCCCGACGCACAGCCACTCTGTCGTGCCTAAGCGCTTTAGCCCAAGCTGTTCCTACCACCTAACGTTCCTTTCCCAACCTCAGGTCCTGGCAAACTCCTACTTGACCCCTAGGCCTAGCTCTCGTGCCTACTCCAGATACATCCAGCCCCGGTCTTTTCACAAAGCAGGGCGCTGGGGAAGCTCCAAGCACTCCCAGGTTCAGGGATGAGGTGTGCCCTCCGGGCGGGATGACCCCTCTCTGGGCTTCAATTTCTCCAAAGAACAGTAGGTGGCGTTTCTAAGGAGAGAGTCACCTCCCTGCTATCTGCGGGGAGCCTTTGCCCTCTGGTGGCAGCGAGATGCATTGCTACTTGAACCCATCTCTTACCTTGGCTATCCCTTTGAGTCTACCTCAGGCCACTCTGAGTCCCCTTTAGGCCTAGGCACCCCAAGTGGGAGACAGCCATAACTGGACAGTGTCAGCCCATGACAGGGGTCACAGCAAGCTCAAAGGGAAGGACAGAGGCTGTCAACTCAGTGATCAGAACTTGGAGGGCTGCCTGAAGGATGAGGCTCTGGACCTGATATAAGGGGTTGGGACCTTCTCTCCAGGCCAAGTGGAGCCTAGAGAGAGGACAGGACGCCATAAGCCAGGAGGTGGGGGTTGAGGTGACCCTATTGGGAAAGAGGAGCTCCTAATGAACAGTGCATTTTACAGATGGATCCCCAGAGGTCCAGAGATGGGCAGAGTCACATGAAAGCTTAGAAAGTTTCACCCTTTCAGTGTCTTAAGGAAGCGACCATTGAGTGGGGAACTGTAGGGTGAGAGCAGTCCCAACTTCCCTTGAGCCTCAGGGGTTAGGGAAGTGCCTCTGGGGCCCCTTCCTGCCACACTCCATGCCTGCTATACCTCAGTTTCCACAGCTGTTCAGGAAAGTCTCCCGCACTTAGCGGCTGTTAGGACAAGGCTGCAAGGTCAGGTCTGAGCTGCCTCCTGCTGCACATTTTGTAGATGGGTATAAGGGAGGAGGGGGCCAGGGCTGCCCAAAGAGGCCCACATCCTCTGCAGTTCTTTCTGTGGCCTCTGTTCTGTTCCTGAGGGTGGGGAACTGAGGTTCTCAGCAGTTAAGACTCCCAGTCTAATCTGACCCAACCCCAAGTCTTCTCCTCCTCACCTGCAAAGGCCATCAGAACCCTTAACACAGGAAAGAACTCGCCCCTGCAAACACTGTGAGGTAAACTGAGGGAGGGGGCACTGGCAGAGCAAGCTCGGAGTGGGGGGTATTTTGGGGTCCAGAGAAGATCTCCTGGCTCTACCCAGGGATTCCCCCAGACAGGGGGTCTCCACCACACAGACTAAATCAAGAGCGTCCAGACTTTGGCGCAAGGTTTGGGTGGGTAAGGTTCCCAGACCCTGGGAGGGATTCCCAGGAGAGTATTTTTTGGGGCGGGGGGGAGAGGGTAGGTCGGTGGATGTCCCGTTGGGAGGGCCTAGACCCTGGGGAGGAGGTCCCCATTTTTTGAGAAGGATCACCGGATCGCATAGCCCATAAGTTGAAAGGCTCCCCACTCTCGAGGGGTGCGCAGACTTGAGGAGAGGGACACACAGACCTGGGGAGAGGGTGCCAGAGGATCCTGGCTATGGGGTGGGGAGTGAGCTGCTCACCTCCGAGCAGCAGCTGCCGTCGTCGCAGGTACGTCTCGGTGGCCGTGAAGTCGCTGGACACAGCGTTGACACCCACGCTTCGGCCCTCCAGCCAGTGCGTGGCCGCCTCGCCATGCGCAGCCACTTTGAGCGCTCGTACCCGAAGCGGCGCCGCCGCCTCAAGCAGTACCCAGCCG